ATTTTAATATATTTTAAAATAGATATTATTCCTGACTGTGGTGGCAAAACTGAATTTTCAGCATCATTTTACTCTTCAGTGTCACATGATCCTTCAAAAATCATTCTAATATGTTTTTTTTCCTGTCATAAAACATTTCTTAATATTATCGGTGTTAAAAACAGCTGTGCTGCTTAATATTTTGTGGAAACCGTGATACGTTTCTGCATTTTTGATGAATATAAAAAGAACAGCATTTATTTGATTTAGAACTTTTTTGTAACAATGTAAAACTTTTTGCGGTCACTTTTGATCAATTAACTGTGTCCTTGCTGAATTAAAGTAAACGGTAGTGTATTTGCTCTGACAATGATTTGATACAAACATTTAGTGAATGAGCATCATGAAATTTGGTTTTACAATTAAAATAGGTCCAAATTGTTCTTATGGTTTAGAATTGTTTATTAAAATCAGATTAATATTTTTTTTAATTCTGTCACATTGTGTTTGTCTTTGCCATTTTTGTCAGGTATAAATTTACTTTTTTTATTGTTTGTATTTATATTTATATATATATATATATATAATTATTATTTATTATAATGCTCATTATATTTCTATTTAATATAAATAATAATACTTATTAGGGGCCAAGCACTGAAGGTGAGTAGGCGTCTATTGTATCCGTTAGTCGTCGTCTTCTTCTTCTTCTTCTTCCGTTCGCGACTTCTATGGCAGCCCATAGAACCGTATTGTAAAAAGTTGTGAAATTTCGCACACAGATTGAGGACAGTCCCAGCATTCACCACAGCAAATGCTCAATCCCTCTAGCGCCACCAACTGTCAAAAGTTGCACTTACGTTTATGCTAATAACTTTTCTAACCGTAAGCGCTAGAAAGATTTTTTTGGTGTATGTGTCATCAGCACCATGCCCTGAAGGTACTTAAAAGGTAGTTTTGAAACTGTTTTTTTATAGATTCCTTGAGTCATACAGAAAACAATGAGTGAATTATGTCTGCCATTTTGGATTTCTTTGAAAACCTATTTTTTTCAAACTCCTCCTAGACCATTGGTTCAATTTTCACCAAAATTAGCTCAGACCATAACAGATATAACCATAACAGTTAAAAACTTTTTCATTGACCAAAATGTTCTTGCATAACGCATCATCCAAATATTAATACTTTTTTTTTTACATCTTTTAACACTTTTGCATATTGACACCAAACTTTGAATTTGTCATTGTCAACTCACACTGACCACACAATTATAATTTGATAACTGCGCCACTATTGGTCAAAACTGATAAGCAATTAAATCGTATTACTAGTGATTGTATTAATGATTTTTCAGCCATTTTGCATAAAATAATGAAGGTCGCAGCCATGTTTGCATAACTCGTTGTGCTTTTTTGTGTTTGGCCCCGATAATTACATTTAATATAATATATTTATTATGTATAATTATATTTATACTAATATAATTGTTGTATAATTGTCTAATAGATTATTTTGTTTTTTTCCCGTCCAGATTCCAGCACTCCACTACCAGGGGATTCTCTCTATCCAAACGCCCCTGTGCCTCCACCACAGTAAAAGAGATGGTGAGATTTAAAGGGGATCAGTGATTCCAGAGAAGAAATGAAATGAGATAGAAAGCAAAAGATATAGAGATAACTGGAGCGATATCTTCTTTTTTGTCACTTTCATCATTTTTGGAAGAAAATGATATAAATGAATTCTTGCCAGCATCTTGAACATGACATGATTAAAAATAAATAGCTAAAGCTAAACACAGATAACCTTGAAAAAGACTGAGAGAAAAAAAAAAAAAAAAAAAAAAAGACCTTTGTTTGGACTTTTGGAAAGGTCTTAAACCCAAACCCCTGTTAAAACCCAACAAAAGCACTCCTGACCCTAACAGTCTGCATCCAAGTACCAGACACAAGGCTCAATATTTCCTTGTCTGTCCTCCATTTTGAGTAACATCACTTAACTTTGAGTCAAACTACAGGATCCAAGGTACCTGTGATCTGCACTTCAGAAGCATCTCAATGTACACTAGGTACTCACATGGAAACAAACAAAAACAAAAGAAAACCAAGAACAAATTGCACTTTCAGAATGTTTCCCGAATCGTACTTTTTGGAGGGATGAAGCATAAAGTCAAAATTAGTCCTGACTTAATGTTTTCTTTTTCAATGTTCTTTTTATCACTTTGTATTTGTTTTAATAGAAGCACTCGATTTGGAGTAAGTCCGAAGAGAAACTTGACTTTGTAATCGTTACTTTGTATGTGTGCGGGTGAATGTCGGTTTTACTTTTGGGACAATGTGAAAGCTTTAGTGGTTTGGCCTGGGTTTTTTTTATGTACAATTCGATTTTAGCATGAGAAAAAAAAAAAGAGATTACAAATTAGTATTAAATCTGTTTACTTTGTATGAACCATCTCTGACAACATGTACTGTAAACCTGGAAGTCATGTCATCAATAATTGATGTTTGCATGTTATTTTTTTGGGTGCACGTCATCTGCCACAAAATATCACAAGTTACTCTGCCTTTCTAACAGGTGAAAGTAGTCTTGTTTCATTCACATCTCATTGCCATGCTTATTAGAATACTTAATTATGGGAGTGTATGACTAATCGACAATGAAAAAATTATGGGAAACGCAGCAGGAAATCACATTGGTTCCTTTCCAGGAAAACAATACGCTGATTATGTGTGTTGTATTTTTGAGTTGAATTAATCATTTTCTTGAGATCACATTACACATTTTAGTATTCAGTGTTCATGCCAGAACTGAATGATATTTCGGTTCAGAATGTGTTATGTGTTGTGTGTGTGTGTGTGTGTGTGTGTGTGTGTGTGTGTGTGTGTGTGTGTGTGTGTGTGTGTGTGTGTGTGTGTGTGTGTGTGTGTGTGTGTGTGTGTGTGTGTGTGTGTGTGTACGGGTGTTTTAGTATCAGGCCAAACCCACAGAAAGTATTTACGACATGAAGGAAAAACCGTTTTGTTTTGTTACAAGTAAGTGGCAACTACCTGATGAGTAGACAGATATTAAAGTTACGTTTGCAGCTGTGGTCTGTGTATCTCATATCTTCATATTGTAACCGTCCTATTTTTGTATTTTTATATGTTTCTTTACACTATTACGAATGATGTTATCATATTATACATGTCTGTAATGTTTCCTTCTCTTTCTGATTGTGGATGTTGTCGTATTATTGACATGTTCATGTGAAAGTGTCAGTCGTTTTATAAGATGAAGCTGGACTCTGTGTGTGTGTGTGTGTGTGTGGTGTGCATGCACTCTATGATTTGCCACACGTCTTTGTGTATGTATGTTTTTTTAGTTTTTTTATTCTACATTCATTTGCCATGTTTCCAGACTACAAATGCTAGTGGTGATGGATATCAATTCTGTCAATATCATAACCAACAAACACATATACACTCCCGCTGTGATCGTATCTGAAGTTTACATCGTCACACACGTATGTGAATGCACATGTATGCAGTAGTCCAACATGCAGTATTACTGACAGAACAGATTCACATCAACCTCACACATTTTTTGCACGCCTCAACCAGTGTTGAATATCTCATTTGATCAATTTGCTCAGCTCTTTGGTCTTTGTCTTTTTCATTTGTTGTTGTATTAGTAGTTTTTTTTGTTACATTTTGTTTATACTTTTTTTAATGGTGAAAGCTGGTAACCATTGCATTGAGATGTGTGAATGTTTGGCGACGTTCGGTTTGTCTTTTAAGGAGATGTAGCTGGAGCTGTCTAGCACCTGTTTGACTAAGAATGGATTAATTTTGGTAAATACTGAACGGTTGTGCACAATAAAAGGCATCATCAGTGATAAGAGCTGTGTGAAGTGTACTCAGTATATAAACCCTTCTTATATTTCTGATTAAAAGGATAGTTTAACATTTATCATAATACAAATTTAAGTTATTACAGCTGTACAAAAAAGCTCTTGGGTCTATCCGGAATGTGCCAGATTTGAACTTGGAAAAAAAAATATATGGCAGAAACCAAGATTGGGGTAAAAAGTAACTTGAGTTACTTATTTGAAGAAGTAACTCGGGTATTTTATTGTACATTTAGAAAGTAATGCATTACTTTACTAGTTACTTGGAAAAGTAATCTGATTACATAACTCGAGTTACTGGTGTATTACTATTACAATAACTATTCAGTTTTAATAATCATTTGAATTCTATGAGAATAGGGAAGTCCATAACGATAACAGCACAGGGGAACAAACAATATCATTGGAATCACTCTCAGAATTTTTTTTATCAGCTGACGAGCATTCAAAAAAATTAGTCAATCAGAATCCACTTGAACATTTAAAACAGCAGTTGACATAACTGATGGGTTTATACTCTCATAGAATTAGAACAATTATTAAAACTTTAGTTATAATTATCATCCTTGGTGTGAACAGGCCTTATAATGATAACAATATCGAAAAACACATGAATTTAAAAAATAACAATATGCATTGATAAATTATTTGTGATAAACACTGCAATAGTCCATAAAAAATAAGAATTGTAAATGTTGATTTCATGTTGACTTTAATTGAATGTGAAAACGGAACGTGACGCGACACTATGGATCGCACAACAGCCAATCAGAAGTTTCTTTCCGTTTACACGTTCCCTCATACTCACAACACACTGCAGCTGAAGAACACATAGTGTTTGAGTGTTATTATACATGTCATAAAAGGTTTTGTTTAGTAAGTCAACTTATCTCTTAAGGTAAACACAGGACCACTAAAACATGTAGGCAACATTATGTTCTCAGCCAGCACATTCAAACACCTTCACATACTCCTGATTTGGTATTGTTTTGTATCATGTTTATCGGGAGAGAGAAGTCTGTGTTACTTTATATCTTTACTAAAATGGAGTGGTTGGTGCAACAATGCCCTACAAGGCAACCCACACATACACCCCCACTCACAACTCTGACATGAGAAATCAACAAAACCAAAGATGATTCTGAATATTTATTATGATGACCATTAAGGAGGGATGTCAAATGACTTACAAACATTTAGATAACAGGTTAATAAAAAAAACTGCAATAAGAGCCTATCAAAATGTCCCTCACAGTTTAAGACAAACAGAGGCTAAATACAATGACCTGTGGAAAGAATGCAATGGCTGAATGGAAGGTATTCAAGCAAACCTATGAACATCAATGAAAGTTTTTGGAATTAAATGAGCCATAATCCTCCAGAAACATGATAAAAGGCACTTAAGGAAAAAATAAAGAACAAATAATTAAAAAAGCTAATAAGGAAATGAAGAAATCACATAAATGGGGGGCCTGACTGAAAAAAAAAAAAAAAAAATCTTCAACCGCTCATGACCATCCTTACGAGTTCTGTAGAAGAGAGAAAAGAAGAAGAAAAATGAGGCAGGGATCCAACAAAATTCAACCCACTAGATCAGCAAATGTTGCCATGGACACCACACATGAAGTTCTAGATACATTTAGACCCATAAACAGTCAAAGATCGCACAGTATGTGTAGTTCAGTGACTGGCAGTCAAACTACATTTCCCTGCAACAACTAGGGGTGAAATGTAGAAGCCCCGGGATGATTTGACAGAAAGGGGAGGAAGAGAGATTGTCCAGGCCTAAAAGAAATTAGAATGGGTTAGCATACCTTATAAAGGCATAAATAGATCAGATACACAAGTACAGAAGAGAGAGAGAAAGCAGGAACAACATTGTGACAGGACTGGATATTAGAACTACAATACATCTCCTTACAAAGCCTCCTACGGTAACAGCAGATGTTCATACCAGAAAGCAGGAGATTCTATAAAGGACCCATCCGAATCCACTACCCTGGCACCGGTTTAGCCTTGAAATATGATGGCAATAGTCATTTTTCTATCACAATACCATCAGCTTCTATATACTGTTTATTTGCGTACACACTGCAGAGATTTAGGAGTGACAATCACATTTAAAAACAGTTATCACTTATGTACACTACTGGTCAAATGTTTGAAATAATTAAGATTTATTGCTTTTGAAAAAAGTCTCTTATGCTCACCAAGGCTGCATTTATTTGATCAAAAATACAGTAAAAAAGTAATATTGTGAAATAATATTACAATTTAAAAGAGCTGTTTTCTATTGTAATATATTTTAAAATGTAATTTATTCCTGTGATGGCGAAGCTATATTTTCAGCATCAGTATCACATGATCCTTCAGAAATCATTCTAATATGCTGATTTGATGCTTAAGAAACATTTTGTATTGTCATCAATGTTCATCAAAACTGCTGTTTTGCTGCTTCATATTTTTGTGGAAACTGTGATACACTACTATTCAAAAGTTTGGGGTAAGGTTTAAATAAAAAAAGCTTTCTTGCTTTTATTCAGCAAGAAAGCATTAATTTGGTCAAAATGACAGTAGACATTTATAATGTTACAAAATATTTCTATTTCAAATAAAAGCGGTTATTTTGAACTTTCTGTTGATCAAAGAATTAAAATGACTTCCAAAGGAACATGTGACACTGAAGACCGGAGTAATGATGCTGAAAATTCAGCTTTGATCACAGGAGTAAATTACATCTCAAACTTATTTTAAACTGTAATAATATTTCACAATATTATTTTAACTGTAGTTTTGATCAAATAAATGCAGCCTCGGAGAGCATTCTTCATCGAATACATTAAAAATCGTAATTATTCCAAACTTTTGACCGCCACTGAAAAAGACCAAACTCAGCAGTGTGACAACTAGCTGCAGTTTGTATGTGGCCTATTAGAAGTAGTGCAAGCAAATGGGTTCTGAATATACAATATTAAAGTTGGAACACAGCATTTCCGAATAAAGGGGAATGGCTGGTTTGGGGGAGATGGGCATAAGAGTGACCAGCAAACTCTGTTAGCACTGGCACAGCATCACCATGGCAACAGTCGGAGTCAGGAGACGCCTACATTATGCACATGCAGAAATGCTACATGCTAGGCTAAAGCCAGGGGACACAGTAGAGAGGAAGCTGTAGGAGAGAAGAATGAGTAAAAACAAACTGAGGACCATTCGTACCCTCTCCTCAACCAGCCATAATGTGGCGCACAAACGCTGTCAGAAGGAAAAGCAAATGGATTCAACTTTGACACTTACACTAGTCTTGATGTTCAGAGAACAAAAAAGACCCATTTGTGATTGTTGTACCTTCATAATTGATGCAGCCATTAGCGTCCTCATGTCCTGCCAAGAGCGTCTCCACTTCCTCCTCTGTCATCTTCTCACCTATCATAAAACACGCATCAAAGAAGATGCATCAAATTCTCCTCAAAAATATATTTCAACCTGTTTTACAGAATGTCATTCTGTACAGCTGTAAGGTGCTTCTAGTGCTTTGTTGGTGTTGGTCAATCTGTTTGATTGAAAGGACTGATATTATATCCAACAAAAATCATTAAATACAAATCGGATTTTATGATTCAAAAATACTCTACTTAAAGAGAGAACACATTCATGACAGTTTCTTAAACTTGAAATGGAATGACACGGAAATTGTGATAGTGTTTTCTTTTGTATTGTGATGCATATCTAAGTGAAACGGCTTCTTGAACAAAAAACAAAAAAACAAAAAAAAGAGTAGGGCGAAACTTGCTGTGTTTCATTTCATGATAACATTTCAAATAATTTTTTAATAATCTTTTGTTGTGCACAAGGGTAGGTAAAAGCCAAATTTCAAATGAACAAAATCTGACAACAATGGCATAAAAAAAAAATCTTAAGAAAGATTTTTCAGGTAGAAATACAAATACCAATATCTCTTATTCGTTGCATCCATACTTGCACTCTCCCTATACCATGCACACAGTTTTGTCAAACAATCATAAGCACTTTATTTTAGTTCAGGTTTTCAAAATAAATCTCAAAAAGAACTCTCAGTGAACTGTTCAAAGGAGCAGAAAAAAAAAAACCTAAGACGCTTCCTATGAAGAAGAAACTTTGGGAGTAATCAAAGAAAGATTATATCCAAATATATTGTAATGTCATTCTAAAAGAGGCCATGACTCTTTACCCAGTGTCGTGAGGACATGTCGCAGCTCAGCACCCATCACCGTTCCATTTCCCTCTTTGTCAAACACCCGCAGCCCCTCCACAAAGTCCTCAAAGGAACCCTGGTCCTTGTTCTTAGCGATGGCCTGCAGCATGGGCAAGAACTGCTCAAAGTCCAGCATTTTCATGTTCATATCTGAGAAAAAAAGAACATTACAATCACTCTTATTTGTATTCACACCAACATCTTAACACACTGAGAATTAAGCTAGAAAATCATCACTTAATAATTTAATTATAACTGTGGAAGATAAAGACACAACTAGATTAATTCAGTGGGACTGTTGAAGTTGTCCTGATTGCATCTTAGACTGATTAAAGGAGACAAATTGCTTTTGTCTGACAGAATAAGGAGAAGTATAGCTTATTGATCAAGGGAAGTGACAGGGTCATGCGGGTTTGGAACAACATGAGGGTGAGTAAATGATGACAGACTTTTCCTTTTTGAATGAACTATCCCTTTAAAAGAACAGGGCTTTTAAACATTGTTGTTTAGCCAGTAAAAATGGCATGATTCAACCGTGCTTACACCAACAACCTTTAACAATTTCCTGTACTAAAAGAAATGTTTTGTTTAACAAGTAACACAGGACATTGCAGCAAAAGAAAGGTCTGACCTTCATTACTGGGGTTTCCCAGGACTTTGAGGACCTCAGCATTGACAGGGTTCTGGCCCAAAGCACGCATCACATCCCCACACTGATTGTACATGATCTTCCCATCTCCTGTTCGGTCAAACAGGAGGAAGGCCTCCTTAAACTCTGTTAATGAGAGAAAGAGAGTGAGAAAATGCATAAGCAAGTGATGCAGAAAATTATGTGTAGTTATCTGGACTGAAAAAAGAAAATGGGTTAAAAAAACTTAATCCCCTGGTTTCACAAACAAGGCTTAAGCTAGTTCCAGACTAAAATACATGTTCTAACTGAAAGCAAGTTGCATTGACATATCTTTAGATATGTCAATGCCATTGTTTTGTCTCAAGATTCACACCAGTAATATTTTTTTATATAAAAGCAACTTAAATGTCCTAATTAAACTAAGGCGTAATCCTGGCTTAATCTAAACCCTGTCTGTGAAACCAGGCCTACGTGATTTATTCTATTCTAAAGCATTTGAGATTTGAGATTACTATCATAATGCTTGGTAGAGCAGCTTACAGGAATGCGACACTTCCCAGGCCGGCCTGAGTCAAACTTCACACACACTCACTGCGATTAACCATATATGGGCAGAAGAGAGATCGCAGCACTACATCAACAGGAATATTAGTTGTGTCTCAAATGACACACTAAATACTTTGCACTGACACTATGCACTATGTACTCTACAGTCTAATGTCATGTGTGAGGTTTTTTTTTAATAAACAAGGTAGAATAATACATAATGGACTAACACAAGAATTAGAAATGTGTTAAAGCGACTAAAGATTTCAATTACAGTGACATAAGAACGGTAATGTTTTTTTTTATAGCTTGATACAATTTCATCCATTTCAACAATTTTTCATCAAAATGTCATTTTATCCTATCTATTTTCTAAATGCAAGTTACTGATTGTGAACAATTCATTCATGCATGTTTTTTTTGCTAATAAATAAATAGATAAATAAATAAAGACTTATTGTAAAAACTCAAAGTTTTACTTTTCAATTAACTTTAATAAATCATCAAAAAGAATTGTATAGAATTAATTTACCATCATCCATTCATCTTCCTTTACTTTTTGAGTGCAAAGCCCACATATCCAATTGAATCAACAACTGATGCATCGAACCAAGTCCCAGCAGTATAATTTTTCAATAACCCGTTGCATTTGGATGTATATCACAATACAGAATAAAAAGTTTGTTCATCGCTATTTACGAATCGTTTGTGTGAATGATTAAACTCACTCTTAACACAAAAGACACTTCAACGGGTCAGTGGATGAATCTTTTCAGCGACCTGATTCAAAAGATTCGAATCACTGATATGAATCAAATCCGCAGCACTCGCCTAAACGTTTAACTTGGAGCTTTGTGCTGGAACTACGACCAATTTAAAAAAACATAACTCACGATATTACTCCATCTCAGCTCGCTAAAATTCAGCAGATCACATTATCATTATTTTCTTGAATTCACACCCAATCCATTTTGATGTTGTTCATACGTAGCGTCTCTAGCTACACATTCCACAGCAGCAGCTTCCGGTGCTTCAAAAGCGCCGCATCTGAAAGCTGTCTCTGCACTGTAACCTCAGCAATTTAGCATCACAAATTGATATTTAAAAGAAACCTCCGGTCGAATTTTGCTATGTTACATTGGACATGAGGTACTACACAATAGTGTGTCCAAGTGCTAAGCATTGACTGCACATCTGTCAGACTCAGCCAGAGTAAGCTGATGTGCAGGCCTAACGTTACGTTTATTTTGCATTAATCGGCAACTCAAACGCAACTATATAACCTCGACGAATTCATAATAACAATATATTCAAGTAGTCAACATTACTCACCACAAATCTGGTCCTCTGAGAAGTCAGACTGTCCATGCCAGGATGAGGATGGCAATAGAGAAGATCAGCATTAAAACCGAATATGCATTGGTTTTATCTTACAATAAAGGGTATTGAGATTCTCGCTCAAAAAAAAAAAAAAAAAAAAACCACACAGAGCAAACCAAGACACATGTGATAATGAAATGTGTTGGCCTGATAGCAGAGCTTGGCGGTTTAAAAAACCTTATGAGATCAACATTCTGTTTAACGGTCACCTACCGACAGTGTGACTAATAGGCGTTAACGTTACCTGCATTGTAGTGAAAATGAGAGATGACAGGCTATGATAATGGACTTACCATGACTGCAGTGGTTGAGGATGGAGCAGAGGGAGCGTCAGTATGAGCGCTGTGTGAATTACAGTGTGGGCGAACACACTTTGTGACACCGCTATTTTCACGATGATGTCATGTCAACTCGATTCAAGCTGAATCGGCCAATCAAATAGTGCGGGCGCTGGTTTCCCTCTACTGTCATTACCGGCAAGTCAGTATTATATACGCAGCTGAAAACCCGAATACCGTAATGCTGTTTGCGTTTCCCAAATGGGGGTTCGCGTGGGAACTGTTTAGAGTTCAAATGTTAAGTTGAAACAAATAAATAAATGAACGGGGCTGAATTGAAATAAAACTGAAGTTGTGATATAGGTAAGTCAGTGCGGTTATCAAATCGAAAGCTGCAATGCAATTTAAGGTCCTTGCACACACACTGAGTCCGAAATGCTTAAAATGCTTGACGGATAAATTAATTTTAATGACGTAGAAACTTAAGTTTCGGAGGCAGTGAAAATTATCAATTCTTATTTTTATGGAATATTGCAGTATCTATTATAAATTATTTATTTGCGCGCAAATTTTTTTTTAAAATTCTTTGTCCTCGTAATCTTTAATCAAAATAACTTTCCCTCCTTGCAACAACATCTCTTCTCTTCTCTTATGACATGTTTACTGGCGTACTGTCTATCCCTGCATTTCTTCTTGTTCGATTTCCTTTCTTGCGTCATAATAGGGAAGAAAAGACTGGCAACTTCGGTGTCATTCTGACTTTAAGACAATACATATTAGTATTGTAACTTTTACTGTAAAATAAATAATAAATATTATTTCTTTACTTATAGTAAAATTGTGATTTACAAAAGTAATATATTTTGTCTTCATTTTTAAAAACTAGACTTAAAACAATAATAACAATTATTATTATACTGCCAATTATTGTTATACTATTTTAACCTGTCTGTGAAACCGGGGGTAAAATCAGGAAATATTCACATTTTTCTTGCACTCCATTAGATGGCACTAAAGATTCCGTTAGGATGGATAATAGCACATAAGAATGAAAGAGCAATCATCCTGGTGAAATAAACTCTTCAGTAAGTGGCAGTAAAGCACTTGATTAGTTTACACAATCATTGCACATAACTAACTACACAGACACCTGCCCAAGTCAGTTGCTAAATTAACTAGGTGCTCATACTATACAATTTTGAATTTAGTCAAATAAAAAGCTATGACATCAGAATTTTTAGTTTGTAAAATGTTTATTTTTTGTGGTGGCACAGAACCAGCAGTTGTTTAGTTGTTCATCTATCTGAGGCAGAGTTTAGCTGTTGTTTTACCAGTAATGTGTCAGTTTTCAGATACATTTTGCTGAAAATATAGTTTTGAACTAAGTTGATGAGACATACATTTTATCGAAGTTGATCCTTACAGAAAATATAATTCATATTTTTACAAGCCGTTTATTCTCTCATTCAAATGGCTCTGCTCACTCCTCCTGACTGGTGTTCTCTCCACATTTGAAACGTATGAAGTCTAGCACACGTGCATCCTGTGAAATCAGGTACTGTCCCACTGTGTATTTGGGATCTGGGAGGAAGGTCTGGGGCAAAAGTCTTGTCTCAGATTCACCACATGGTATATCATCCATGTTGCCAAGAGAAACAGGTGCTTCACCTACTATATGTTGCCCCAGCTTCCTTCCCAGAGTATCTGTCCCTTCCTTTGGTCCACCTTGAAACACAACTAGCGATCCATAGCGCCCCATATCAATGCCAAACTGCCCAGGAACCATTCCATGAACGTATGAGCCAATGTGCCAATCAGAGGGCACGACAAGTGATACGGCTCGCCGCATGCCAATGTTCTCACCCAGACGCCCTGAAGGGGGAAAAAAATATTATTATTTTAATGCTTGTATTTAATTATTAGGAGGTGAAAGGTAGCAGAGGACACGGTGTGTTGAAAAGCTTCACATGTTGTGTAAATCATTTTGTGAAGACAATAACATTTTGTAAATATGTAATTTCCTGTACTGTACAGATAAATACACTACCATTTAAAAGTTTGGAATCAGTACGATTATTAAAAATGGTTTTAAAAAGTCTCTTATGCTCACCAATGCTGCATTTATTTGATAAAAAATACAGTAGAAATGGTAATATTGTGAAATAATAATATTACATTAAAAAAAACTTTTCTATTTTAACATATTCTAAAATATTCCTGTGATGGTAAAGCTGAATTTTCAGCATCATTACTCCAGTCTTCAGTCTCACATGATCCTTCAGAAATCATTTAATATGCTGATTTGATGCAAGAAACATTTATTATTATTATCACAGCTGAAAACCTTTTTTTCATGATTCTTTGATGAAACATTTTTTTTATATTATGAATGTCTTTATATTAACGTTTGACTTTAACTGAATAAACTTAACCTTGCTGAATAAAAGAAAAAGAAAATCTTACGGACCCAAAACTTGAAACAGCAGTGTCCATTTATACATTTTTATTTTTGGATTAAAGTGTCTAAATACATTTCAGGGTCATTCTAAGGAGCAAGAAATTATGCTGGAATGCTGGAAGGTTATGCTGAAATTAATATAATGTAAAAGGTTTATTCTCACCTATAGTCAAAGCCACCTGATCTGCCAGTGAGGGTCCCTCAGGAATGTGGAGCTTAGAAATGTCCTCAGATGACAGCTCACTCTGAATCAGAGAACAGATCAGCATTCAGAGACTGGAGAAGGTGTGGAAGAAATGCACATTTCTCAAACTGCAAATGAAGGGCCTGTACCTTAAGATACCCTGTCTGCTTTTTGCTGCAGAGATGAGCCATTATTGACAAAGCAACATCCTTCACCAACTGCTGAAATTTCTCATTTCTCGCAACAAAATCTGTCTCACAGTTCACCTGAACATAAAACATTAACATTAGTGAACATTAGTTCATTCACACACCACATCATTTTGGAGACCAAATATCACATTGTGTGGTAAGATTGGCATGTTAAGTCTACCTCAACCATGACAGCTGCATTATCACCCTTAATGAGACCAATCAGCCCCTCCCTGGCTTTCCGACCTTCCAGTTTGCTTGCTTTGCTCCAGCCCTCCTTTTGTGCTTGTTCATGCAGCCAGCTTTCTGCCTGCAAACATCGCATTTGATTCATAATTAGTTCATATCCCTTACCATGTAAAACTTGTGACTGCACACCCTGTGAAACAGAATAATGCACACCCTTATGTCATACACATTTAAAGATATAATTATAGTATATATATATATATATATATATATATATATATAAAGACAAAAACAACTACAAGGATGTGTTTGTGTGCTTGACAAATCAAATGACCGTTGCATTCCATTTCAAGTTTAAAAATGATACAGTGAGTTTAAAATTCATGTTTGCGTTATCAAAATAGTAAAATTATTTAACAATCAAACCAAGGTTTAAACCAAGTTAAACCCGCAATCAACAGCATTTATAATAGATAGATAGATAGACAGATAGACAGATAGATAGATAGATAGATAGATAGATAGATAGATAGATAGATAGATAGATAGATAGATAGATAGATAGATATTGGATCTGAAATTCAACAATGAAATTACACCTGTGTAATGTCATTGTTGAATTTCAGATAGATAGATAGATAGATAGATAGATAGATAGATAGATAGATAGATAGATAGATAGATAGATAGATAGATAGATAGATATTGGATCGCACCTGTGTAATGTCATTGTTGAATTTCTCCAGTGCCTTTTTGCAGTTGATGAAGGTGTAGCCCGTAGCTTTGCGTAATTTCAGGAGAAGTGTTTTCTCCGCTGCTAAACTCGGGCAGCTGGTGTAGAGAGACTGGACATGCTGTGTGAGACATCCCTATGAATAACATAACATATTGTTAATAAGACACGTGATTAAATTATGGTACAGGACATAACACAGCCGAATGGAAACCGTTTAGCAAATACTGTCATGTATTATTTAAAATACAAGATAAGATACAAGATTTATACATTTTTTTATCAAACTAGACTAGCATGAAAATAGTATAACTTCTAAAGCATCTAGTCAAAGGCATTAAAAGGTTAGAATGCGTCAAAGCCCACCTTGACTACTTCAGTCCTGACAGATCGAAACAAAGAATATAAAGCCATTTCTATATCTTCACCAACTAACACAGGCTTCCTTACATCAGTAACTGAGATGTCATTGAACCCATAGACGATTGAACCACGCTTTCTACAGAGAGAGAGGAAGGTCATATAAAAGAGAATTCAGGCTCACATGTAGCTCCATCTACTGCACAGGAGTTTAAGATGCACCTACAGCTGAGTAAAAACTGAGTAGGCCTATGTTATTAATGGTCAATGATAATGTGCTAATGTGTTATTGATTTGTAATAACTGTATATTTGTTTGTAAAATCTATTATTATTATTATTCGGAAACAATCCTAATGTGATCAGATATATATACACTACCGTTCAAAAGTTTGGGGTCGGTACGATTTTAAATACTTTTAAAAGAATTCTCTTCTGCTAACCATGGCTGCGCTTATTTGATTAAAAATACAACAAAAATCAGTTATAGTATTAAATATTATTCCAGTGTAAATCAGCTGTTTTCTGTGTGAATATATAGTAAAGTGTAATTTATTCCTGTGATCAAAGCTGAATTTTCAGCATCACCAGTGTCAGTGTCTTCAGTGTCAAATGACTCTTCACAAATCAGTATAATATGAGGATTTGATGCTCAAGAAACATTTATTATTATTATCAATGTTGAAACAGTTGTTGGTCTGTCAGTTGTACAGTTTTTTTTTGTTTGTTTTTTTTTGGATTCTTTGATGAATAGGAAGTTCAAAAGAACAGCATTTGTTTGAAATAGAATCTTTTGTAACATTATAAATGTCTTTACTGTCCTTGATAAATGAAAGTATTGATTTCTTTCCTCCAAAAAAAATAAAAATAAAATTCTCACTGACCCCAAACTTTTGAACGGTAGTCTATATATAGTATATATATATATATATATATGATCACATTAGGATTATGGATATAAATGTATAAATAAAAGCTGAAAAATTGAAAGCAAGAAGGCAAGATGAAAACCTAAAAAAAAGTATCTTGATT